AGTCGATGGCTGCCGGCTCGTACCTCCTCTACCAGCTGCTGCACTACGATGTGAAACGACTCCCAATGGTTGTTTACCTTATTGCGGATCGAACATTCCTGTTTGACAAGACCAGCAGGACGGTGTCGAAGTACATGGGCGAGTCCAGTAATGCGTCTTTTGTGAGGAGTCTGTCTGACCGTGGGATGAAGGGGTATATTATTTACGATTTGGCAGAGCCGGATGATGCACCGTCTGGTAATTTGCCTCCCAGGGGATGGGGCATGGTTTTGGTGTCACCCCCACTCGAGAGGAACTACAAAGAGTGGGTGAAGCGGAGCGGTGCCACAGAAATGGTTATGAATTGCCCTGGTGAAAGCGATGTGAAGGCGATGTGCGTTTGGATGAGGCGCCATCAGCCCGTGCGGGAGCAAGCGGAGTACTGGAAGGTGGTGAAGAGCCAAATGGATGAAGTGGGACCTATTCCACGTTATGTCTTTGACGAGCGAAAGTATGATAATTGGGTTCAACGGTGTCACAAGACCGTCGATGAGGCGACCTCTTTTGTAATCTTGCAATACACTGGTTTGGGACGTGGTGTATCCTGGGATTGTAAGAAGGTGCTCTACTGGCTTGCGAGGGTTGTCCGAGTACGAAGTGAAGAGTTTGGTTATGAATTTTTTTTCAATTTACCGGTGTCTGCTCACCTCGGAAATAAAACATTATTCAAGTCGGCGAAGTTAATGCAACAGCTTGATTTTAATTTTCTCATGTCGGGGCTGACGGATTATCTCATATCAGAAAATTTTGGAAGGTGCACCGTGTTTGCATTTTTGAATGGATCTTTTGTGCGTGCAATAGAACGCAGGCTGAGGGAGCTGAGGCCATCACCACAACGTCAGTCCCACCGCTGTGCGCTGGCGGTGTACTCACAGGAGCGCTCCACCAGGCACCATGTCTTACCGCCACTGGAACACGTTTCTGAGAGGATTGATGTGGAGTGCGGGGTGCTGTACGTAACGGAGGTGGAAAACTTTCCGCTGGTGGACGGCTTTTTCTTTTTGGAGTCACGACGGAAGACGCTGGTTGGGCTGCGGATGACTACGGCGGGTGGGCACCACACCACAGCCAGCACTGTGAGACGGTTCACTGAGTGCCTGGCGGCATATTTTAATGGTTGGGAGGAGTTATCCCGAGACATGTCGTGGGAGATTATTTACGTGCAGCACGCAGACAGCACGCCGTTGAATGACTGGCAGGGATGTGATGTTGTCAATTCCAATGATGTGAGCACGAAGGAAAAAAAAAAAATTGCGGCGTTCTGGAACGAAAAGGTACGCCAGTACCAAGTGTCAATATCATCCGAAGACGCCCCAAGAAGGCATTAGTATTGAGGAGTAATCAAAGGAATAAATAGGAAAACAAATTAGGGAATTGTGGGGGTAGTTTGAGTTCTGGTAAAAAAACATTGCGGGTTGTTTCATACATGTGGATTTCTGTGTGTGCATACGAGGCATAGTAGGGAAATTGCTCTGTTATGAGAGAATGATTATGGCTGGCGGTGATGAAGTATGACTACGTTGTTTATTTCTTCTTATTTTTTTTGTTCTAAGGCCCATCATTAAACGAAGCATCTTTAAGGGATGTACGAAAAATTAGTTCTATTGGGGAGGCAGTGCGCTCCGTGTGACTGCTTGGAGTGGAGCGCCGTATTCAATTGAGGGTGGAATGGCTTCCTTGTGCCTGCGTCATCGTTGCTTCCCCTTGCGGTTTCATGCTTGACTGCCTCATCGCGGCGCCAGGGCTCAGCACCCCGTATTGTCGGGGAGGCCGGGAGCCAGCAATGTTTCCCTCACGGGATCGTTGTTGGCGCAGGGCTGACGGCATCGACCAGCGTCCGGACCAGCCGCGTTGTGCCAAAGCAAATTGCAGTACTTTGAGGTCCGGGGGCACGCGTTGCCGCAGCACGGGCCATGTAATTGAAAAAACACGAGGGAGGACAACAGAGGCACAACCGTGCGTGCTGCAGCAATTCGGCACTGATGCTCTTTTACTTTTTCGGCTCTGGAAACTGAGAGTGTGCGCCCTGCGCCTGTTGCCTGCACTCTCATGGCCACGTTTTGAATGGAGCGTGTTGTTGTTTCTCTGAAGCGGGCTCCGTGTCAACGCGACAGGGGAACACGGTTGGCGGTGGCAGGAGTCCTTCCCGGAACGGCACCAGAGTGCCGGGTTCCCGGAGTCGGTCGCTCGCCGAGTTGGGGACGGCTCTCAGGGATTGTCCCGAGGCTGCTTCTCAATGCCGTTGTTGTTGTTGACGGCAAATCGCTGATGGGAGAGCGAGAGATAGTGTGCTGTCGTGTGATTTTACACAATGGGCACTCGTTGGAGCGATGCATGTGTGTTTGCCTCACAGATGTGGTGTTTTGGATCCCTATTTCACGCTATTCGGTGCCGCAGAAGTGGACGAAGAAGTGATGCATTTACGAGCTGCACGGGCGTGGTGGACACGGTTACACGAGCCTGTGGAGGATCCGAGCAAATCAAAGTGTACTGTGCGGTTTGGGTCTACAAGGAAGGAAGAAACAGTGGGCGGCTGAGGGGAGTTGCAGTGCACGCGGCTGCAGAAGATGACATGCGTTGCTGAGTTCCCGTTGACCGTCACTTTGGGGGCTTTTTCTCGGGGCCGTGAATCCTTTCTAATTTATTTGGAGGTGCTTGATGACGCCAGTTGTGGAGGGCGTTTTCCTCCATACGAGGATGGCGCACGGGGGACAAGGAAGAAGGAGAGCGACGCCTCGCCAAAAGAGTGGCTGCTGGAACGTTGACGAGACTCGGGATTGTTTGCACGGCCAGCTGCTTGCCCTCGGCAGGATGTTCCTTGAGGCGTTCATTGGCGCGGGAGTGAGACGCACGCACGGGCAGGCACCGCAACAACCGTCTCATTACTTCTCCGTTGCACAAATGAGACGACGCACATCAGGCGTAGCAGGTGACGTCCACTGCGAGCCCTCCCGCCGCCTCTTCTGTTTCACACCTTGGCATTTTCTGCGCTGTGAAAACTGCTCCCATTGGCCGTCTTCTGTGACACGAGAGCCGCCTGTATTCCTCTTCATCGCATGAAAGAGTCGTGAGGAGGGGTTGGAAGGTGCGTTGAGGAGCCGTGTGGTCTCTGCGAGCATGTTCTCTGTTTTTCTGAGGTGTTGAATTTTGGTTTGCCGAAACGCCAATTGAGTGCCTGCGTTGGAGGCAAACATGAATGAGAGGCAAACGTGATTGTGGAGGTGAAGGAGGGCCACGCCATTGGGAGGAGGAAGAGTGAATGGGTGGGTGGGTGGTGTCTGTGGCCCATATGTGGTGCCCGACCGGCGCTTCACGTTGTTTGGTGCTATTATCATTTGCATCCACAAAGAATGGCTTTGGGTGCTGCTTTTCCCAACTCTCTTACTGTGTATGTGTGGGCATGGCTCTTCTTCCGTGCTGTGCATTTGCGGCGTAAGCTGTCGATGGTCTGTGTGAAATATGTGATGATTTGCGGCATTTTGTTGGATTGTGCTTTGATGTTTGCCGCGGGGTGACAGCCAGATTGGAGTCGTTGCTTTTTCTTTACTGTGATCACGTGCGGTGTTTAGGGGAGGCCTCTCGGGGAAGCGCCAGTCGACATTCTTGTGAAGCCCAGGCATGATGCCACACTGCTTATTGGCGTGGAATGAGTTGAGGGTTTGCATATAAGCTCCTGTGCATTTTTGCCGTGGTGCTCCTCATGCATGGCCCATGGCGACGACTGGCTGAGAATCTTCAATGGGCTTTTTGTTGAGTCGAGGGGCGCATAGTGTCTTGTCTGCTGATTGAGTGTCCGGGCGTCACGGATGATGCATGGGGCAGGCAGAATCTCGTGCATGGCGGAAGGAGGAAACAAAGGGCTGATTGTTTGATTGTTACTGACGAGTCCTGCCTCACTGCTTGGAGGGGGCTGTCGTTGACTGGGGCAACTTGTTTTGTGTGTCCAGACACTGCTTGCGCCGATTGGCGTTGCGCCGTGTTGGTGTGTGCGGCACCGTCATGCGGGGCAGCTGCGTGGCGTTTACGGACTGTGTGCCTGTGAGCTGATGAACGTGGCGGGAGGCGTGTCTGAGGGGAATCCGCGAAAGAAGGAGTGGCATGCGTTTGGCGGTGCTGCTGTGCGATGTGCGAGGGAGGAAGAAACACAATTGCTTTCTGACATGTCGGTGGGTGTTCCACGACCACCGATGAGTTCTCAGGGAGGGGGAAAGGAGGGAGGGAGACGGAGACTGTGCGCACCCGCTGCGGCGTGTGGTGCGACAGGATGCGATTGCCATTGTGAAGGATGTGACGGCCGTCATGCGTGCAGCAGAGCGTTACCTGCATCTTTGTTTCTGCAGAGCTTGCAGGTGCTGCGAGGAGGTGCAGGCAACCTCTCATCATTGGGCTGCTGAGGCCGTTTTTACTTTTTGCTCAGCGGGAGAAGCAACTCTTCCTGCAAGTGGTGTGCTTTTCTGCATCGATACACCTAAACGGGTTGTCACGCCGCCGTGTCGTTGCAGTGCCACTCTTGTGTCCTTCACTTCACACGTGGCCCTTTCTCATTTTTCTTTTTTGCAGGACCGTGGCCTTCGGTCCCCCATTGGGAGACTGCTCACATTTTGAAATTATTTATTTATGCTTTTGAGGGGTGCTGTGAATAATGGCTGCGGGGACGGTGATGTTGTGGTTTGCTGTGAGTGGTGGCGGTGTGTACTGCTGTTGTACTGTCTTTTTGCCGCTGTCGTTGTCCTTTTCACTTATTGAAAACACACACGCTAGGAAATCAGGCGTGAATCGCTACTGTGAAATTCGAAGTCTCTGAAAGGACCAACAACAGCACGCACACCGCCCTCACACATATTTATATGCAGTTACGTGTTGCTGCTGTCAATGCACCCCGCACAAACAACCGTCACCGCGTGACCGGATACAGTTGAAGGAGGAGGGAAGGAGGAGAGAGTGAGCCGCAGAGGCCCAACATGTCCCGGCATGTGCTTACTTTTGCGGTGCTGCTCCTCCTTGTTGTGATGTGCTGCGGCAGTGGAGGTGCACACGCTGTGGAGAGCAAGCCAGGGGGTGTGCAGCTGCCGCAATGGGTCGATCTATTTGTGCCGAATAAGACGCAGGTGTTGCCAAAAGATGGGACTGGTGAGACTGGAGTGAAGGAAGCATTTGCCGCACCTTCTCTCGTCCGTGCTGGTGGGGTAATGATTGCATTTGCTGAGGGCTTCCTCGAATATAACGGCCATCACGAGAAATTATTTGGGACTCGTTATTCCGACATTGTGGCTGGGTACATCAAGGCTGCGGAGACGTGGCCGTCCATTGTCGCTGAGATCGCCAAGAAGGAATGGAGCGCACACACCGTGCTTGACAGTAGGAATGGCAATAATCGTTTGCGCGTTTTTTGTCGGCCCGCATCCATTGCAGGGGACAATAAGGTGTTTCCACTTGCGGGAATCTGTGAAGAGAAGTACGACAATGATGATGAGGAAAGGGCGGCGGGTGACTCAGCTATTCAACTGGTTGTTGGTGTGGCCACGCAGCCCAAGGACGGCGAGCCGAGTGGAATGATCAACTGGGAAGAATCCAAATATTTCTTGCAACAGATCTCCAAACACACTCAAGGCCACATGAAGGATTTTGTGACTGCTGGTGGCTCAGGCATTGTGATGCAGAATGGCACGCTTGTTTTTTCCCTGAGTGCGAGGAACGGGAAAAATCAGCCTTTCTTCATGATCAATTATTCGACGGACAAAGGCAACAACTGGGTGTTCCCAGAGGGCATTTTTTCTGTGGAATGCCTTGGCCCCCGCATCACCGAATGGGAGAATGGACAGATTCTCATGATTGTTCATTATGTGGATGCCCAGAGTGTGTTCGAGTCGCGTGACATGGGGACAACGTGGAAGAATGCTGCCAGAACACTCTCAGGCGTGTGGGTCATTTCACACTCAGGATTCCGTTGGGACGAAAGTTTGCGTGTGGGAGACCTCATCGCTGCGACCATTGGGGGAAGGAAGGTCATGCTGTACATTCAGAGAGGGTACGTCTTGAGGGAGAAAAAGGACAAGGCGCTCTACCTTTGGGTCACGGACAATAGCCGCACGTTCCATGTTGGGCCGCTTTTTGCGGAGAATGCTATGGGTGAGACGCTTGCCAACGCCCTGCTGTACTCGGATGGTGCGTTGCACCTTTCACGAGAGGGTATTGTGGGAACGCGCCGGGGCATATCCCTTGCCCGCCAGACGGAGGAGCTGAAGACGATCAACTCCGTCCTCAGCACTTGGGCGCAGCTGGATGCCTCTTTCTCCGAGTCTTCCAGACCCACGGCGGGTCTGGTTGGATTCCTGTCCGACGCATCGTCCTGCGATGTCACGTGGATCGATGATTACCGTTGCGTGAATGCAATTGCGACAAAAGCAGCGAAGGCCAAAAATGGCTTTAATTTCACGGGGCCGGAGTCCGGGACAACATGGCCCGTGAACGGCCGGGAGGATAATAACCAGTACGGCTTTGTGAACTACGATTTCACTATTGTGGCAACGGTGATCGTCCACGAGGTTCCGAAGAAGAGTACTTTTCTTCTGGGTGCGGGTCTGGGGGACGGTGCCGGCAAGAAGATCATTGGGCTGTCGTACAGCATGAATAAAAAGTGGGAGACAGTGTTTGACGGCACAAAGGCAGCACAGGACAGCACGTGGGAGCCGGGGAAAGAACACCAGGTGGCGCTCATGCTGCAGGACGGCAACAAGGGCTGCATGTACGTGGATGGTGAGATTGTGGGGAGCCCAGAGAATATAACGACACTTGAGACGCAGGGGTTTGAAATCACACATTTCTACTTTGGGATGCGAGGGGGACATCAACAGCAGCGTGACGATGACGAACGTCTTTCTGTACAGCCGCCCACTGAGCGTTGGTGAACTAAAACTGGTCAGGAAAAGCGACGCCAAAAAAGGTAAAGGTGACGGCTCCATGCGGGGGGGCGTCTCTCGGGTGCTTCTGTGCGGCATTTTGGCCCTTTACTGAGAAATCGCAACAAGGAATTCCTGCCACCAGCGGGAACATATGCGTCTGGCCACGCACTCTTTTAAATAATTGTCACTTTTTGTGGACACTTTGTTTTAAACGTTTTATTTTACTTTGCGCCCTTCTTGCTGTGCAGGGCTTTTTCTCCATGTGGAAGCATGCTCTTCCTCTGGGGACTGCACCGCGGGGTTTTTGTTTGTTTTATTCCTTTCTTTTGTGTTGTGTTCCTCCGACAATTACGGGATTCACTCAGTGCTCTTTCTCTTTTTAGTGATCAGAGGCGAGCTCGGCACTGTGTGCCACGCCGATGGCGCCGGCTAATAAAAGAGAGAATGGAATGGGGACACGAAACCGCGCCGGGTGTCCCAGTGGAATATAAATAATGTGTGGGCACCGGGGGTTTGGACGACTGGAAGGAGTGCAACGTATTTTCTTATTTTTTATCTGCAGGCGAGACATGCGCACCGATTTGGAAGTCACGCACCAACGTGCAGTTTTTTTTTTTGTTTTTGAGTGAATGCATAATGGAAGACGGATTTATCTTTTTTAAATTTTACTTTTCAGCATTTGTCCCGCGGCTTGCCACAGCGTGGGCAGCTGTGCAGTGTTGCGTTTCACCAGTCATCCTGTTTGTTTGTTTTCTGGCACTCCTGTGTGGTTTTATTTGCCCCTAAATGCCTTGCTTTTTTTTTGTGACTGTGGGTAAGAACTTAAAGACAATTACACGATATATGTATTGCAGTGTACTCCAGCAATGGGGTCCGTACCCTTTCGCGGTGCTGGGGCTTTGGTTGCATATAGGAACTCCGCAGCAGGGCGTTGCTGCGAGCACGACGGAGACCAAGGTGACTTCACCCCTCGAGAAGGTTCCACGCCATGCCCGGTGTGGGGAGGTGAGGCGGTCTGCCTGCAGACTGTCGGACAGAACTGCACGACCGTTTCGCAGCGGTCACTCCGTTGATATCACCCGTTGCGGTGACGTTCACAAGAACCATGGCCCGAGGAGGATGGCTACATCAATATTTGGCAGCTTAACATTGCAGGCCTCTCGTCCGTGAAAAATATTGCATTTGCTGCGCGACTGGAGCAGCGTCCACCTGACATCGTTCTTCTCCAGGAAACAAGTAACCGTGGTGACGTAGCGACGAAATTATCTGGCCATAATGACTACCTTCAGGCCCGCACTGGGCGCGGTGGTGGCGTTGCCATTCTGGTGCGCCACTCTCCACCGTGCGAGCGCCTGTCGCTCCCTGGCACTGACCTTCTGGAGACCATTGCTGTCCGTGTATTTCCGCCAGGCCGTCCCAGCATTTGCGTGGCGAATCTCTATAAACCTCCCACAACAATTGGTCAATAATCCGCATCTATCAATATCGTTTGTCGCTTGGGCCCGAAGCGATTATCGCGGGTGACCTGAATTTACATCGTGAACTCTGGGACAGTCATATATACCATCAACGACTGGAGGAGAGAACTTCGCCGCTATTTTAATCGATATGAATTTTGGGCTGGCAAATGACCCAGCGCAGGCAACACGGATCACACATCGTAATGCCTCGTCCCCTGACGTGACTGCGTATTGCGCCCTACGCATCTCCCACTGGACATTCGCCCCTTACATGAACTCGGACCACTGCTTAATGTCTTACTCGGTGGAGATGGATGATGGCACTCCACGAATAGCAAACACGCTGCCTTGACGGACGAAAGCCACCTTTGCCCTGCGTAAAGCGGGTTGGCCTGCTTTTACATCGTTGTGTGAAACCCTCCTTGCCACCGCGTCCACATGGTTGGATCTTCGCGGAGGCATCTTACGAGCAGCTGAGCGCCATATCCCGCGCGGCAGCCGTGACAGCTCCAAAAAAGATATGGACACACGAAATGGAACAAGCCGAGTCCGCCGCCGAAGCAGCACACAAAGCACACACATTGCCTCACCAGGAGACAGCCTGCTTTGAGCCGAATGTACCCGAAAAAAGGAGGAACGAAATCAAGCCTTACGCCGTTGCTTCGCTGTGCTGTTGGAAGCCCGCGCGAAAAGACTTGGAGCCTCACCCAGCCCAGGCTGGCGATATCTTCATGGCATGGCGGCGCCGCATCCTCATCCTCTGGAATCGGTTGTGCTCCGAACTGATCTTCGGACCGCGTCTGCCCTCTGCCTCGGCAACAGGCGAATCTGCTTGTCCGTCATTTTGTGCGGCTTTTACGTGCCACGTTACCTTATGCTGCTGCCGCTGCTCGCCGCACTTCTTTGGTTCCTGGTGGCTGGGAAATGGATCGACCTCTCACGCCGTATGAACTTGACGTGGCCATCTGCGACTCTTTGCTTGGCTCAGCCTCTGGCCCCGACGACATGTTGAATGAATTCCTGCACTGTCTCGGGCCCGTTGCGCGTGGCACTCTTAGAAATATGATCCACAACTCCTTTGCAAATGGCAGCCTGCCTGAAGACTCCATGAGCGGAAGTGACGACGGGGAATTTTCTTCACCGTTTCAGGCAGATATTTCTTGGTTGCCATTGTCTTTCATGGTAAAAAAAGAGTGATGGTGAGGACTCACTGGGCCGTGATTTAAGGTGCTGCACATGACGGTAGAGGCAATTTTTGTGAAACGAAACAACACCAAAAAGCAACAACAATGTTTTCCCTTTGTTTTTTCTTTCTGTCTCTCTCTCTCCCTATATATTTAGTGTGTCTGCGGCTTAGCTTCCTTCATATGGTTGGCCTTATCATTACTGTTACGGATTTCCCTTACGTGTGATATTATTATATGTATTTGTATGCACATATTCTTTTTTACGTCTGTTAATAAATGCAGTAGAAATAAAGCATGGCATATTTCGATCAGGCTATCAGTATTAGGCGAATGGACGTCTGATAGCTCAATACAGAAGTGCGAAATATGTGAGGTCGAATTTAATTTCGGGTGCAGGCGTCATCATTGTCGGTACTTTGGCGGTATTTTCTGTGCGTCATGCTCGAGCTTTTTTGTTAAATTACAAAAGCTTCATGTAAATAAACGACGACGGGTGTGCCGCAAATGTTTTGAATTTCTCTCAAAGGCACCGCAAGCTACAAATCCGTCCTGTGCTAGTGTTCAGAGCCACCATAAAGAGTTGAACAGTGTGAATGCTTGTAATTGCGAGTCCGATTGTTTGACTACTGAATCCGCCCAGGCAACAACTGTTGTCTCTTGGACGCCACGAAGAGGAGAAGATCGAAATACCGCAGGTACATTTCCCGACGAGGAGAATGCTGACGATACTGATTTGGATGATGACGACGACGATGTTTCTGCAGCTGTTGCAGGTGTATACTCCTCTATGGATGATGGCCAACACACCGGTAGCCTCGCCTTTCTTGCTGCACCGCAAGACAACCCTCGGTATTCAGAGGGCTCTGACGTAATTCATGTTCTTATTTACGTATCAGCCACGAGGTGCCAGGTGATTTTAGTTACGGTGAGTGATGGGGAAACCGTGTTGATGCTCGCTAAGCGTTTGGTGGATGTGCACTTCAGGTTGGACAGTGGATCTCTCAAGTTGATTAGAACGGCTGCGAGAGAGATTTTGCTGCAAAAACTGAGGTTTTCAAGTGAATCCATTGTTATAGAGAATGAGGCTAATGCGAGTGATGTGGCATCTCATTGTAAACACTTGGTTTTTTTGACTCTGTCTGTTTCCGAGCCGCAACATGCGCACGATGATGACCCTATTGAGGGTTTTTTTCGTAGCGGACTCTGCAGTGAAAATAAGGACGATATGATATGTTATTTGTTGCCTTTTTATTTTTACCTTCACGTGCTTGTGTTTTTGTAATTTCCGTGTGTGTTATTTGTTGGTGTTTTTTTTTCTTTTGTCTCCGGCACAATTTGCAGAAAAAAAAATATAAATAAAAATAAATAAACGCTCACGAAATCGGCAAGAAAAAAATGACCCTCATTTAGCTGCCGTCTTTTTTTCTTTTTTTTGGTTTTAAAAGAATTTTTTTTGTTAAAAAACTGTGAGTTTTCCCTCGTCTGCGTTCTCGCACTCACGGCGAAACAAAAGGAGGTGGAAAAACTTATGAATTTTTGTCCTTCCAATTGAAATGCCAGTCCGCCCTCCTGTGGAATACGTGAGTGCTCGGTCTTGCAATCCGCAGTGTTCAAAACATCTCATATTTATTGATTTGCAGCGTTTTTAGTTGTTTTTTTTAGAAACTTTTTGAAACGAATGTGCGAGTCGTGGGGGCAAATTTTGATGGTGCTGCGCGGGAAGGTGGCGGCTGCAGTTTCTTTCTGTCGTCCCACCCGCCTCCTTCATTGCGCCTCACGCGGTGCAGGGGAGTCCGGCGGCTAAAAGGGGCACTAAATTAAGGCTGCAGCTTTGCTACTTTACGACGAGTTTGGCTATTGTCGATTTATTTGTCTGATGGCTTTTGTTGCGTGTTTATGAGTGCTGGATAATTTTTCTTTGGAGCGCGTTGATGCAGAGCGATGTGTGATTAAATTGTCTTCTCCCATTTTGTTGTGTTTTCCTCCTCTCACATTTCTGAGGATAAGACGTCAACGACCTCATCTAAGCACATGTTCATTTCTTGTTTCTTTTTTTTTCTTCCTTTTACGTTTGAAGAAAATGGACGTTTCCGCTTTTCTGAAGGAGTTTAAGAGGGCGAGGAAGGAATCTGGCGGCAGCGTTCCTTTTGGTGGCGAGGAGAGCGCGGGTGCCGCAGGTATAACAAACGCATTTTCACAAAACGCAACATCAAGCGGACGGATTTTATCTCCGGATGACTCGGGGGAAAGTGAGCAGAGCATCAGCGATCGTGAAGGCGAAGATGCGCCGCCTTCATATCTCTGAGAAGCAAGAGGCAACGGTGTGATGCATTTTGGCGGCGCACGCAAGAGGGAGGTTTGGGCCGTACACGCGTGTCTTTTACGGAGATAAAAACGTACCGGACGAATCAGTGTCTAAAGACGGACAGCAGCATCCCCAATGCGACAGTTCGGAGGGCAACTCACTCCATTCCTTTACGAGTAGCAGCCAAGAGGGGTGGCGCGTCAACCGTTAATAAACTACGTGATGAGCTCTTGCGGAAAAAGAACTCTCTCAATCAATCATTGGTGGTGAGGGAGCATACAGGCGGTTGTTGTGCGGATGATTCTCGGGAGTGTGCATTGAGCACAGGCGCTGAGGGATTTCTTGTCTGTGTAGATGATCTTATAGCCCCTGAAAACACGGCTATGGATCAGTCTCCCTTTTTGGTTGGGGATCGTGCGGCACAACTGCAAGCCAAAAATGAGGGTGATGTGGCCACAGCCACACCGAAATATTCCACGGAAGAGCAGCAGTCTTCTTCTCTTCCTCCTCCTCTTCCTCCTGTTGAGGTGGAAGTGTGCCATGGGAAACCCAGGACTGAAAGAGTGAGTTTGTTCGCTCGAGCAAAGATGTACTCTAGTGCGACTGCCTCTGTTGTGAATAGGGAGTCAGAAGTCTTAAATACGAGAAAGTTTTTGAAATAATTAGATTCTGGCGAGGAGAAAACAATAACTACCACCACCACAACAAAAATTGGATTCTTTTGAGATAAATTGGAGTTCTTTCAGTTTCTATTCATGTGCTCATTAGGGAGGGGCATTGAGCATGACCTTTGGGTGCGGTGGGATTTTGGCATCACCGGAGTCAAATTTTTGTGTTCCATTTATATTTCCACGATGCCGTAGAATGGAAGAGAGGGGTGAAGAAGAGAAAAAAAGAAGAGAGAGGTGGTCGCTTGGCATGGATCGTTTTACTATTGGACCCCCAATTGGTGAGGGTCGCCTTGGCGTCGTTCGTGCTGCAGTTGTTAAGGAATCTGGAATGCCAGCCACAATCAAATTCGTCACAGCTCCACGTCTTGATGAGGGTATTCCGCATCCCACAGCGAGGGAACTACTTGTTGCAATGCGATTGGTGCATCCTTTTGTTATTCGGACATATGAGGTAGTTCCGTGTGGCTGCTCCTTGGCGTTAGTGATGGAGCGCTGCAAGACTGACTTGGCAACAGTCCTCTCAGGGAGAACTGCCGGCAATCCTCTGCCCGCGTTAGAGGCAAAGTCTCTATTTAAAATGCTTCTTTTGGCGTTAGCGTACATACACAGCGAGGGTGTTCTTCATCGAGATGTGAAACCTTCAAATTGTTTTTTGACTGCGGAGGGGGAACTACGCCTCGGCGACTTTGGACTAAGTCGTGTATGGGATACGGAGGCATCCATGACTCACGAAGTCGTTTCGAGGTGGTACCGAGCTCCCGAGTTACTTCTGGGCCAGCGACACTACGGACCCGAAATTGATGTGTGGTCATCAGGGTGCGTATTTGCGGAACTTCTACGAGGGTACAGTGGTGCTTTTTTTTTGCGGGCGATGGAGATATTTGGCAGTTGTCACGAATATTTGATGTATTAGGGACACCGACGCCCACATCGTGGCCATCGGCGGTGCTGCTTCCCGATTGGGGAAAGGTGCACTTTGAGCCGAAGCGTCCTCTTCCTCTCCGTGAATTTTTCCCGGATGCCTCTGAATGTGCATTGGATTTGTTGCGAAGATTACTTTGCCTGGATCCTCAAAAGCGTTTGACTGCGGCTGCCGCCCTTCGTCACGCCTACTTTAGTGAATACCCGACGTGAAGGTCCATGGATAAAGGGACGCGGGGGCTATATGTGGTGTGCGGGGGTGAAAATTGGAATTGCTCATATAAATGCGTGCTTATTTTCCTTGACAATCCTTTTTGGTTGTTGTTGTTGTTATTTTAATGGGTTATTATTATTATTTTGATTATTGTTTAAATTTATTTTTATTTTTCAATTATATTTTTTATTTGTTTTTGTGGATTTTTAACTGTGAAGCCCAATTTTTTATCCAAAGTAAAAGAAAACTAACGCGTGTGCGAGAGAGAGAGAGAGAGAAAGAGGGTGACGAGCACATATCTAACATAATAATGTATCGTTGCTTCCATCATTTCTCCACGTTGCCACTGGCGTTTGTACGACGGGCTGCTGCAAACAGTTACGTCAATCGCCATATTGGACCATCAGCGGCAGAATCAATTTCTATGCTTCGAATAATTGGCAAAGAAAGTCTGTCGGACCTCATGACTGCTGCGATCCCAGAGAATATTTTGCGAAGCCCTTTAAAAGAGGCTCCGGCGATGAGCGAGCAGGATGCCCTTTCGCTTCTCCATTCACTGGGTTCACGGAATAAGGTATTAAAGAGCATGATTGGGCAAGGATACGATGAGCCAGGGCACACCAACTGTAATACTTCGTAACGTTGTCGAGAATCCTGCATGGCACACCCCATACACTCCTTTCCAGGCTGAAATATCTCAAGGCCATCTAGAGTCCCTGTTGGATTTTCAGTCCATGATTATAGAATTGACAGCTATGGATTTGGCAAATGCATCTCTTCTTGATCAAGCTACTGCATGTGCTGAGGCAATGTACCTTGCCTTTCATCATGGTCGAAAGGAGCGCATGACTTTTTTTGTATCGAGGGATGTCTTCCCATCTTGCGTAGAGATGGTGAAAACGAGAGCTGAGCCCCTTAAAATAAAGGTCGTTGTTGGTGATCCAAATTTGATTGATTGGAGCGATTCCTCACTCTGTGGAATTTTGGTACAAACTCCAGATGCCATGTGGATGCTTCATGATTTTACGACACTGTTTGAGAAGGCAAAGCAACACGGTGTCGTCAGTTGTTGTGGGACGGATTTGATGGCTTCTGTTCTTCTCAAACCTCCGGGAGAAATGGGAGCCGATGTTGTTTTGGGATCTGCCCAACGTTTTGGTGCCCCACTAGGGTTTGGGGGCCTCACGCCGCATTTTTTGCTGTCAATGAGGAATTTAAGCGATTCATTCCGGGTCGCGTCAATGGTATAAAAGTAAAGACTCGACGGGCTGTCCGGCCATACGCATGGCGCTTCAGACGCGGGAGCAACGTATTAAGAAGGAACGCGCCACACCCAATATTTGTACTTCGCAAGCTCTCCTAGCAAATGTTGCGGCATTTTATGCCATTTATCACGGCTCCGAGGGCTTGAAGGAAATTGCGAGCGAAATGCACAGTAAAGCCAAAATACTTTCTGTTGGTTTAGAGTCTGTAGGGCATACAGTGGTCAATGGTACATTTTTTGATACCATCACCGTAAATTTAAAAGGTATAACGCCTGAAGACTACGTGACATGCTGCGTGGAAAAAGGCATTAATATTTTTGTTGATTATAGTCATGGCACCGTCTCTATATCGGTGGATGAGGCCACTACCGAGGGCCATGTAGTGTCTCTTGGAGGCAGCAGGGCCAAAACTTCCTGTGATAGGTGTCCTTTCAAAACTCGCAGAACAAAAGAGAGCAATGCCTTTGCAAATGTTACGAAAATCTGTCTTTCTTGGGCGTTCAATCTTTCAAAAGTACAAAAGTGAGAGTGAGCTTATGCGGTACATTCACCGTCTTCATAGAAAAGATTATGGTCTCACGCATGGTTGTGTGCCCTTGGGTTCTTTTACCGTGAAACTTAATCCAGCTGCCGCCATGTTGTCCTTGTCGTGGTCAGAATTTACCAACCTTCACCCTCTTGCACCGACGGAGCAAACGCGAGGATATAGTGCGTTGTGTTTGGATCTGGAGCAGAAAATAAGAGATATTACCGCTTTAGATGCCGTGTCGCTTCAGCCAAATAGTGGTGCTCCGGGTGAATATGCTGCTCTTCGTGTGATTCACTCGTATCATAATTCAAAAAAGGAGAGCCATCGCAATGTTTGCTTGATTCCAGAAAGTGCTCATGGCACAAATTTTGCTTCGG